AAATAAATAAATAAATAAATAAATAAATAAATAAATAAATAAATAAATAAATAAATAAATAAAGTCTAACCAAAGGATATTTGAAAGGAATGAGCGGCGAGCTGACGATACACCCGGGAATTAAACTTCGCTGACGTCTGCCTCTTATTATTTTTTTCTTTTTCTTCTTCGGTGTATCTGCAGCTATTGCTCGGGGCACTGCAAATAACACAGGCTAAAATAGTAGACACACACAAACAACAAACCCCAAACCCTAAACCCTAAACCCTAGAGAGCCCCAACAGGGTCTTAAACCCCTCCTCCTAGATCCTAAACCCTACCCCGTAAAACTTAAACACTAGCCCCTAAACCCTAAACCCTAAACCCTAAACCCTAGACCATAGACCATAGACCCTACCCCGTAAACACTACCCGCTACACCCTAAACCCTAAACCCCAAACCCTAAACCCTAGACCCTATCCGCTTACTTCATTGTGTTTAGCAAATTCGAAGAGCACCACTGCTTGCCCGACTCTGCAACGAAGAAGGGGGCTCCAAGAGACAGATGAGACGACCCCTAAAGGCCTCTTGTCAGAGACGCTGAGCACTGCTGCTCCTCTCAAGGGGAAGGCCAGGCTCTCTAAGCGTGCACACTCTTCCATGCAGCAATACTCATCCTGCTGCTGCTGCTGCTGCTGCTGCTGCTGATGCTGATGATGATGCAGCTGTAGCTGCTGCTGATGCTGTAGCTGCTGCAGCTGCTGCAGATGCTGCTGCTGATGCTGGTGCTGATGCTGGTGCTGATGTTGGTGTTGGTGATGCTGTTGTTGTTGTTCGTGCTGCTGGAGGAGCTGCTGCTGCAGTAGCTGCTGTTGCTGCTGCTGCTGCTGCTGTATCTGCAGGGCGATTTGCTGCTGTCTTTTGACCGCTCTGTTAATTCTTTGAGGGTCTCCAACCAAGAAGGTAATTCTTCTGACTTTAGGTGCTTTTGCAAGTTGTTTGCTAAGAGCTTCAGCCCCAATGAGTAGTCTTTGCTTCACTTTATATAAACTTATTAATCTTCCTAGCCCTGCATGCACCGCTCCATGACAGCCCCAAATGTCGACGCCCAGCAAAGGCAAACCCGCCTCTACTCGCAGCATCTCTAAGCTCTGCATACACCCCAAATAAGGCCGACCCACAAACCCATACAAACTACAACCCCCAAACAAATCCTTCTGGGGGCCCCCAGCAGGGGGGCCCCCAGTAGAGGGGCCCTCATATAGGGGGCCCCCAGTAGAGGGGCCCTCATATAGGGGGCCCCCAGACACACAATCCTCTAATACCCACGACGTATCTCCGCTACCATCCTTCAAGGGGGCCCCCAAAGGGCCCCCAGAGGGGCCCTCAGAGGGGACCCCGGAGGGGCCCCCAAAGGGGGCCCCCATAAGACCCAAGGGGCTCCCAGAGGGGCCCCCAAAGAAGCCTCCAGAGGGGCCTCCAGAGGGGCCCCCAGAGGGGCCCCTAGAGGGGCCCCTAGAGGGGCCCTCATAAGAGCCCCTGGAGGGGCCCCCGAAGGGGCCTAAAGGGCCCTCAGAGGGGCCCCCAAAGGGGCCCTCGTATGGGCTCCCAGAGGGGCCCCCCTGGGGGGCCCCCAAGGGGCCCTCAAGGGGGGTCCCATTGGATA